TAAACATTCATTATTATTACTCTTTTTGGTTATTATCATTTGTGCAGACATGATTTAAAACAACATATATTCTCTTTTTGCTTAAACCCACTTTAATTGATTAATTTCAACCATGTATATATAAATACACTAAATGCTGAAGGTTACAGATCATATCAACTGTCACACCCTTGCACTTTCTGTCATTACATGTGTCAAAGTGTGATCATTAGTGTAAACAAAATAAATAAATTAGTTATGTATAATTCCTTAGATATAAATGATGCTTGTAGCCTATTAAAAGGTGACACGTGTTCATTTATATAATTAAGTTTTTCTTTTTTTTTGCAATTAAGAATCTTTCTTTTCAAAGTATATGTGATAATGAACACGTGTCACCTTTTAATAGGCTACAAATATCATTTGTACATAAGGAATTGTATCTAAGTTTTGTCCATAAATAAATCTATCTGGAAATTCAATAAATTATATATTTTTTATAATACACACTTTGGCATAGGGTTGGCACACAAATTGTGGCACAAGTAATGTTTTGCCCAAGATTTCAATGAAAGGTGAAACTACCACAAGCTCAATTGCATTTTAAGTTGGTTGAAAAATATGTTTATACACTGTCAGTTCATCATTCATTGTTTGAGTCATTAAAAAGGTAATACAAATAAGTGATATAATGAATGTATATAAATATTTATACTGACAATACATATATATCAAACTCTTTAACTAGTAATTAGATTATATTCAACTACTCGGTCTCAAGAATTTAGCTTCTTGAAGTAAACTTGTTACTATGGGAGTAAGGAGAACAAATAAAGCAATGACAGCATATCATGGTATTAACATACGAAATGATTTTAGGGAGAATACAAGTTAATTTAAAGACAACTCGTTTTAAGGGAAAAAGTCACAATAAATTTAGGAGAACTTAATGTCCTTAAATGAATCTCTCCGACTCAACACAAATTAGTTGAAGTCTAATGTGCTTTTCTGATACTAAGCTCAATAACATACCAAAAAAAGAAAAGAAAAAAAAAAAACATCCACAAGAGTGTAAAGGGGGAGTTAGGATCCTCTACATTACTAGAGGTTAGAGCTTCAAAAACCAAAGAAAAATGTAACCTCCAATAACACATATATCCATTTGATTACAATAAAATTACACTTTTTGGCATTAAAAACAAAATGAAAACATGTACATATCTAGAGGATCCTAGTTCTAATAAAACTAGTTATGTACAAATGAAGGTTAAGGAGAAAAACTGTGGGTGTGTAAAATCCAAATTCTTTTTGTTTCAAAGATACCAGGAAAAGAAATTTACAGTAAAACTCAGATTGAATCAGCTTTCAATTAATTGTGAATGACTAAACAAATAATAAATATTTTATTCACCTATGAAACTGAAATTTAAAAACACTGTCCATTTGGTTCAACTCAGGGAAAACAAATCCATAATTGATTTACAGAAAAGTAAATTAAACTACAACAATCTCAAATATACCATGATTTTCACAGTATTAGCACATAATTTGTATCAAGTCCCCCTTAATTTGCATTCATATTCATCTAATTGAGTTTTAAAATTCAAGGACATAGCTTGGGGAGAACCAACTATAACAAACCAAAGAACTCAAGTATTCTAGATTCTGGATTCCCCAGGGGATCTGCTAAACTTGAAGGAGATCAGACAGAGAGAAAGTAAAGCAGTGCAAGAATCCATAATCCAGAAGTTGGAAACTTGTGTATATTATCCCTTCACCAATCAGGGAAAATATATCCTTTTGCATTTCTCAGTATTAACATAAACAAAGGGCATTTCTCAGTATTAACATACACTATAGAAATCGGCCATTCACCACATTCAATCCTCACAGTAGGTAATTGACATATCAGGGCAAACAAATTAAAGTTATTCAATGCAAAATTCTGTGCAGAGGAGTGACAGATTCTGTGCAACAAAATTCTAATTAACTGTATAAAAATTGCAACCTGTCACCTTATTTTCACTCGTCGAGTTATCAAACATGCAATTCCATTTCCACACAACACGACTAGATATAGTTAACGTACCATAACATTAACCATCACCAGAAAAGCAGACAACTCAGTTAGCCGACTTAGCTCACAACTTGGTTAGCTAGTAACAACATATCTTCTACTTCTGTTCCACTTTGCATTGTTACTTATCAGTAATTCATCCATTCAATGTACTCAATTAAAGGTTTGATAATTTCTCTGCACTGAACTATTATTTTTGTAAGCAAGCTTATCTATCTGAATGAAGTACAAACCATGAGAGAAGTGCAAGTTTAGCAAGGATGTTATTTGGGTAAGAATAACAAAAGAATTATGCACGAAAGCCAGACTATAGCTACATGGTTCCCTCATTTTGCCTAATTACCGCTTATCAAAATCTGCATACCAATTACCATGTTCCTCATAGAGGAAGTCAAGTAATAATGTAATATCTGACCAACCACATAGAAGTGGTTTGTGCACACCAGAACCGGTACAACGTACCATGTAACTATGAGCCAAACCGGCGGCCTAGAGGATGTAGAAACTTAAACCCAGGCAATTCAATACTCTGAAGCACGGATTCGTGAAACTCCTTCACGTGTCAGTGTTGGACACGTATCCGACACGGATACGCTCCGATTCGTCATGGATATGTATCCGTAGAGTATCCAACAAAATATATTAAGATATGTATCTGAAACGTTTAGATAGGATACGTATATGAAATGTTTTCAACAAAAAACTAGGATACATATGATACGTTTTAATCAAAGCATCTCAATAATCAAGGAAAATACCAACTTATTTAAAAGCAAACAATAATGAAGGCAACCACTAATAGAAGACAGTGATTTACAATTTCCATTATACTTTCTACTTTGGATATTTTAATTTACAATTATAATTTTATCGTATTTTATATATTTTTTTACTATTTTATATACATATCCCTGAACATATTGTATCCTATATTTTATAAAAAATGTGTATCGGCGTATCGTATCAGACAGTATCCAAAACAAGTATCCGTATCCGTATCTGTGTTTTATAAGTTCAATACATGACCAACTACTAAGTTAAATTCCACAAAAACTCACACTTGCAATGAGGAATAAAGGTTCAACAATAATGAAACAGACAACAAAACTAAGAATTGCAACAATTACAACAAAGTAGCATTTTATGAAACAATTTCAATTGTAAGGGACAAGGTTGGAAATCCACCAAATTAAACTTTATTGGAACACATAACATTGAAAAGAAAAAAAGAGGAATGGATTTAATCATTGAGGTTGGCCTGTTGTTGCTGCTTCCATAACTCTTCTCTAACCCTTCTGATCTCAGCTTCCTTCTCCATCCTCTCTTGCTAAAATATTCAATAATTGAAATTATATTTTACATTATAATATATTCGTATCTATTAACCAGTGTTTTAAATTGCACTCCGTAAAATCGGGAGCATATAGTGACCGCAATTGCAATTTAAAATTGAAAAATAGGGTTTTGGATTTTATACCTTTTCGTCTTGGTGGAGAGCGATCCAGACATGAACCTTGTCCATGGTTTCCCAGAAAACGAATGCTCCAAGTGTCATAGCGAAATACGTCGACACTTTCACCATTTTCTTCTCTCTCTCTTTCTGATTCCTTGAAATATGATTAACTTTCTTTCGTACCTATTCGCTTCACTTGTAATCTTAACTGTATCATCAATTTTAATTTTGGTAAAAAATAATAATTAGTGGAACACTGCGATTATTGGGCTCCGAAGCTTTTTCTGTGGCCCAATCCATGAAATCTACATTTCATACTGCAAGTCATTATTAAGCCCATCATGGACTACAAAAATTAAGAAACGAACATGAAAATGTTTAGGATTGAGACATAGATAATGGAGTTTTGAGGAACAAAATCAGTTTTTTTTGTACTATCCCATCATCCTACGATTAATTCATTTTGGGTACATGACTGTCATCCTAACAAGTGTCACTTACGTGAATTGAACTTTTGACTTTTTAGTCTTATATTATTAGATCAACGTCTTGTCAATAAATAAAATGAGTTTAAAGTAGGCATGATATTATGAAATGGGAAGAATATTTCTTTTTCGTCCTACCAAATATATCTTTCACCCAATGGGTAAGAAGTTAATCATGAAACCAAAGTGTTTGACTGCATTCCTAACAAATGTTACTTTCAATAATCGATTCATTAATTATTTTTCCAAAGATCTAATATGAACTTACACTAGTAGACCAACACTATTGAAGGTGTGAAAGATTATGGAGTTTTTAAGATTTTGTAAATCTAAAATAGAAGGAATTTATTTACTCTAAGAGTAAGTTTACCTCATATTAGCCATCAACTATAGGGAAATCAAATGGTTTAAATTTACTCACTAATTTAAATAATTGATTTTTCGTAAAATTGAAGACTAAAATGTGGAGTAAAAACTTACTTTCGAAGTAAGCGGATCCCCTCACGATCTAAATAAAAACGCAGGGCCAAAAAGTGGATCTCATATGTATTCAACTCATGTTTTCTATTGAAGCCCAAATGTATTCTATTTCTTCTTTCAAAGCCCATTGACTCATTCATCCTTATTAGGTTTTCCTGTTTCTATATAAAAGCAGAAGCGTTGCCTAACTCATCATACTAAGCAAAAAACCTGGCTGCGATACCCAAACATCTTTCTTACTGGTTCTTCTTTCAAATATCTATTACTTTTTCATGTTCCCATTCACTTCACTTTTTTTTCATCCATTTTTGTTTCCAATTGTCGCTTTTGATAGGCGTTGCGTTCTTCTGTTACCAGTGCAGAAGAACGTGTCAACGAAAGCGTATATTCAATTACAACTTCCACTTATTCGTGGCATTTTATTATGTCTCAAACAACAACGTATTATAACCGTTGCTGTTTGTTGTTTAGTGTTGTTGTGAAATTGATTCATTCTTTTTATTTATTAGTTTTGATTGAATTAGTTGTTGCTTCTTATGGTGAACTCTCTTTTAATTCAAATAAGTGATGTTCTAGTTTCCGAAGCATATATAAATATTTAATAGCCAGTTTTAAACAGCGTTGTGTAATTTTATTTAACTTACACTTTGCTACCTGTCTGCTGGTACAAACTTTGTTATATTAATTCATATTTGATTTTTTAGTTTATGCATTATTATGTAATTTGTAAATGTTTTAATTTCTGAATTCAGGAAATTTGTTTTGTGAAGTTTTTTAATCGTTATGAATCCAAATGTATTGTAACACGGAATCAAATTTGAGAAAATAAGATTCTATTCGCTCTAGATTTGATTATGTGATTTCTTTATGTTGTGGATTACATGCCTTTTAATAAAACGTAGTAAACAATCTTCACATTTTGTGAAGTCTAACAAAGTCACTATTGTTGTGATGCCATTTTTTTGATGGCACGACTATAATAGAGTCTTTTAATTTAATTAGATTGGGCTTTATATTTAACATCTAGGTTTTGGCTAAGGAATATCCGAATATGGAATATTTAGAAAAATGTTTTAATCCAAAACTTTTTTAAATAATAATTTCTCAAAAAATATTAATATAATTCTATATCTTTTTCCCAAAATAATAATTATTGGGAATTATGATTTTTTTAAAATTATAATAGCAGATAAGTTATTGAAACCTTTATTTTTTCTCAGAAAAGTTATAATTAATTTTACGAAAAAATGAATTAAATAAAAATGAGGTTTTTAGAAAAAAAATTAATAAAAATAAAATAATAAAGTAATTTTTATTATTTATTGTACTTTGTCTACATTTTAATATTAAGTAAGTAAAAAATAATTAAATTCATTATTTATTACTTTTTTTATAATTAATTTCCAATTTATTAAAATAAATAAATTTGGAATATTCTACTTTTCGGAAAATAAAAAATAAGTATGAAAAAAAATGTATAATCAAATTAATTTTATTAAATTCTTGAAATACTAGTGGCCATTTAGCCATTTCATTTTTATTCAAATGAAACTGATTTGATTCTCCATTATTTTTTTAGTTTCTCAAAAGTTGAAAGTTCTAAAGAAAATTATTTTTATTTATTTTAATAAATTTTAAAGTAATTATAAAAATTTAATAGAAAGTAGTTTTAATAATTTAATATTAAAACTTTAGAAAAACAAAAGTAAATAATAAAATCATTTTATTATTTTATTTTTTTAGTGGAAATAGTATAGGTTTCTAGAAACCTCTTTTTTATTTAATTATTTTTTTTGGAAAATATAATTTTCTAGAACCTATTTTCTACTATACTTTTTTTTGAAAATTATTTGCTTATTATTTTTTGAGAAATTAATTATTTTATAAAAAATTGTGCTAAAATTTTCCTCTCTCTAAGAAATATTAAAATAAAAACTAATATTAATATTTAAAACAATATAGACATAAATAAATGGAAGTTATTAAACTAAAATTACATAATTCACAAACTAAATAATACATAAATATTAAGTTTTATACAAAAGTTCTAAGGTTTATACATAATTTACAAAATTGTAATATTACATAATAAAGTTTTATACATAATTATTTGTTTGTGTATAGATAAATGAAACTATTATGAGGAATTATGGGGTTAGGGGGTGATTGAGAGAGGAAAATAAGAATTATGAAGTTTTGTGCTGATGTGAAGAATTATGGTGTTTGGTGGAAGAGTAAAAAATAGATAGATAAAGTTATGATGTGGTAAAATGATAAATAGAAAAATTGGAAAAAATAAACTAAAAAATAAATTAACCCATGATTTTGGAGCTTCTACTTTTTGCTTATTTTTTCAGAAAAAAAATTTAAGTTTATAAACTTGTTGTCAAACCTAAATAGTTTATATTTTGAGCTTAATTTTCAAAAATAATCATAAACTACAAATTTTAAACTATACCAAACAACCATTAATATTTTCCATTCTGAAAAAAATTAGTTTATGAAAATTAGTTGTAAAATATTTTCCATTCTTTGGTATCACATATTCAACATCTGAAAGTCATATTCTGGTTAATCCGAATAAAACCAGAAAACTCATTTAATAGCCCAATACTCTCATCAACAATCCTAAATTAAAGGAAATCAAAAGTCACTAGAATAATTGAATAAACTAGAAATAATTCTTAGGAGTCACAAAACAAGGGACACATACCCTAAAATATGTGATGCACAAGCCACAATACTCAGAATGGCCCAATAAACAGCAATGAGGATAAGAATGGTCGTTTCTCTAACATGTGAACCTTATATTAGTTCATATGCATGTAAAACAAATAATGGCTGTTGGATGAAACCAGTGTTTAACTAGTCACTAGATACTTTTTTTACCTTAGAAGTCGGTCTGGCAGGGTGGAAACTTCAGAAAAAGAAGTTACCGTAGGAGATGCTGACTTCTGTGAAGGAAATCCCTAATCATCCTTAGAAGTCAGTTTAGGAGTTATTAACTTCAAATGAACAGAAGCTTTATATGTATATACCAACTTCTCTGTGCAATAGGTTTAGTAGCACAAAAGTCGGTTTAACTGGTAACCCACCACTTCCTTGTAGAAGTCGGTGTGGAACACCATTACTTCCTAAATATATGACATATTTTCATGTCAGACCGACTTCTTCTTAGAAGTGGTTTATATTATATTAAATGATGTTGGTGCTCATGTTTTATAAATAAACTTTTGAGACAGTTTGTTACTTGCGAATTTTTTTTAACAGAGATAGTTGTAACATTAATAGTAATGTTATACTTAATTTTTAAACATTAATAGTAATGTTATAATTTTCGGTATTATGCATGGATTTTTCTTACTAGTAATTTTTTTAATCTTACTACTTTATACTAATAACTACATTTTAATTTTCGGTATTATGCATGAATGCATGAATTTTTAACTTTATTCGGTTATTAATAAGCTACATTTCTAGTAATTTTACATTATTCGGTATTGCATAAGATGATATTATTCAGTATTATATAGTTTAAGAACACAGAGTATGATGTGTTTAATGTATTATATTCCTTTGACTATATTATTCTACACTATATTGCTTACATTATTCGGTATTATTCATATTTTTCGGTATTATATGCATAATGTGTTTATTATATAATATTAAAAAAAACTATACTAAGCTAAGCCTTTGCCAAACAAACCGACTTGTGGGTTATGCAAAAAATCCATTTTCCCAATGCATGTGTCGGTCTGGACTAAAATAACTTTATATTGGCAAATGGTGAAGCCCAAAATGCTTTCTGCCAAATATAATAACCGGAAAATAATATGAAATAATTCATTACTCAACAGTCTTTATTTATGTGAAATTGAGTAAAATTTATAATTTATGTTATTATATTATTTGGTTATTATATTTTTTAAGTGCAAATATTCCTTTAATTATATTTTTACATGAACTCTCGAGAGATGTTTTAAGAATGAGACATGCTAATTTGTTCGAGGCAGAACTATTACTAGATGAATTAATGAACCTTGCTGGTTTTTCTAAATTGTCTAGTCTTCAATGTTTCAACATAGACCCATCGTTATTAATTGATGTAACACCCCGAATTTCAGTCTTTGAAATTATAGTATCAGTCCTGGAAGTCTCGCTTGAGCGAGAAGATTCTCGCCTGAGCGAGAAAGGATCACATGTGAGGGTGAAATCCTGGGCAATACTGATAATCGATTACATGCTGATAAACTAATCAGACCTGTGTATTTTACATGATGTAATCGATTACACTATACTCGTAATCGATTACAACATATTAAAAGTATCAGATATGTACATTTTTCACATTGTAATCGATTACAACATGTTTGGTAATCGATTACATCAAGTCGTTGAGTTTGTATTTTTAAATTTTTAACTCATGTAATCGATTATACTTATCACTGTGAGATTCTCGTCTGAGCGAGAACCCGACGACTGCTCTTTAAAATAGAAACCCCAAACACATTTTAGGGTTAGAACTTTGAAGAGAAGAGAGAGAAGAGAGCTTTTCAAGAGCAAGAAGCCTTAGGACTCATCTTAGAGCTTGAGAAGAGGTAAATCTCTTGCTTCTAACTCTTCTTCTTCTTCCTCTCTAACTTGTTTTGGGTATGTTGGATCTATTTTCAAAACATGAGAAACCATGGAAACTCATTCTTTAGAGTTATGGTTCGTTTTATGTTGTTTTTCTCTTGTAAACTCTTGAGTTAGAGTTGATACTTGATGAATGGTAAGGTTTTGTGGGTTATTAATGAAAAACCCCAAAAACCCCCAAAATGAGAATATGAGTATAAAGAGAAAGAGATGAAATGTTAGATGTGGATGATGAGTTTGTGCTTTGGTGTTGATATATGAGATAAACATGTATGTTTAGATGTTTGGAAACTTGTATTGAAGTAGTTTTGGAAATCTTGAATATATATGAATCCCTTGTGTATTTAATGATGAAATACGAGTTATTTATGTGTTATTTTGAATAAATGACTGACATTGTTGTTATTGGTGAAAATGAGAAGAGATCCTAAGGTTGGAGGAAATCGCGGAGGAGACTTTTAAAGTTACTCGGAACTGATCCCCAACACTCACCAAGGTAAGGGATAAGTGTCTCTAAATTATACTTGCTGATATGAATGAGGTATGTGAAAGAGGTAATGGTTTAAAATGATACGTCTATAATTTATGCATTATGTTGGAAAATGCGTGGCTTTTCTGTTATGGTCAATGAAAGTAATATTATTGGGGGAGTACCAATGGAAAGATGACTCAAACGAATTAATATTATTAGGGAATACCAATGGAAATATGACTCAAATGAATTAATATTATTCGGGGAGTACCAATGGAAATATGACTCAAACGAATTAATATTATTGGAGGAGTACCAATGGAAATATGACTCAAATGAATTAATATTATTGGGGGAGTACCAATGGAAAGATGACTCAAACGAATTAATATTATTGGGGGAGTACCAATGGAAATATGACTCAAACGAATCAATATTATTGGGGGAGTACCAATTGAAATATGACTCAAACGAATCAATATTATTGGGGGAGTACCAATGGAAATATGACACAAATAAATTAATATTATTGAGGGAGTACCAATGGAAATATGACTCAAATGAAAGTAATATTATTGGGGGAGTACCAATGGAAATATGACTCAAATGAAAGTAATATTATTGGGGGAGTACCAATGGAAATATGACTCAACTGAAAGTAATATTATTGGGGGAGTACCAATGGAAATATGACTCAAATGAAAGTAATATTATTGGGGGTACCAATGGAAATATGACTCAAAGGAAATCAATATTATTGGGGGAGTACCAATGGAAATAAGACTCGGAGTAATGAAAGTCGTATGCATGCTATATGATATATAGTATGAGATATATATTCTATAGGGTGAATACGGATGATGATAAATGCGAATGTCACATGAATGTCGTATGCATGCTATATGATATA